ACTCACAGAACATATTTAAAGAAATGCAAAAGAGTTGAAATCATCCCCTGCATGTTATCAGATCATGGCACTATGAAATTAGTAATTATGATAAAAGATACTGCAAAAATCCCACAAACACATGGAAACTGAATAACACATTCTTGCATAATCAGTGGGTCACAGAGGAAATTAAAGAAGAAATTAAACAATATCCACAAACAAATGAAAACACAAATACAACATACTGGAATCTGTGGGATGCAATGAAAGCTGTCCTTAGAGGAAAATTTATTGCACTGATTTCCCACATCAGGAAAATAGAACAAATACAAATAAATAACTTGATGCTACACCTCAAACAGCTAGAAAAAGAAGAGCAAGTCAAGCCCAAAGCCAAAAGAAGAGAGGAAATAATAAAAATCAGAGCAGAAATCAGTGCAATAGAGACTAAGAAAACAATACAAAGAATCAATGAATTAAAGAGTTGGTTCTTTGAAAGAATAAATAAAATTGATAAGCCCCTAGCCAACCTTATTTTATAAAAAGGGAAGAAAAAGCTCAAATTCATGCAATAAGGAATGAAAAAGGTGAAATCACTACAGACCCAATAGAAATACACGAGATCATCAACACTTATATCAAAAACCTCTACTCTCAAAGATTTGATAGCGCAGAAGAAATAGACAGATTTCTAGAAGCATATGAAGTACCAAAGCTAGGTCAAGAAGATATAAAACTGCTGAATAACCCAATTTCTATTAATGAAATAAAAAATGTAATTAAGTCATTACTTACAAAGAAGAGCCCAGGCCCAGATGGATTCACTGCAGAATTCTACAAGAAATACAAAGAGGACCTAATGCCAACGCTCCTCAAACTCTTCAATGAAATTGAAAGGGAAGCAATCCTTCCCAAGTCATTCATGGAAGCAAATATTACTCTAGTACCAAAACCTGAGAAAGACCCAACTGAAAAAGAGAACTACAGGCCAATCTCCCTAATGAACACAGATACAAAGATCTTCAATAAAATATTGGCAAATAGGATGCAGCAAGTCATCAAAAAGATTATACACCATGACCAAGTGGGATTCATCCCAGGTATGCTGGGATGGTTCAATATACGTAAATCAATAAATGTAATCCCCATATCAATAGAGTCAAAAGTAAGAATCACATGATCATTTCTATAGATGCAGAAAGAGCTTTTGATAAGGTACAACATTCATTTATGACAAGAACCTTGCAGAAAATTGGAATAGATGGTCTTTACCTCAACATAATAAAGGCCATCTATGACAAACCAACAGCCAGTATCATACTAAATGCCCAAAAATTGAAGGCCTTTACTTTAAAATCAGGCACAAGACAAGGATGTCCCCTGTCACCACTCCTATTTAATATAGTACGGGAAATACTAGCCAGAGCAATTAGACATGAAAGAGAAATAAAAGGTGTAAAGATGGGAAAATAAGAAGTTAAATTATCACTATTTGCAGATGATGTGATACTCTACATAGAAGACCCCCAAAACTCCATTGAAAGACTCTTAGATATAATAAATGAATTCAGCAATGTGGCTGGATACAAAATCAATACTCAAAAATCAATAGCATTCTTATACACTAACAACAAAATCACAGAGAGAGAAATAAGAGAAGCCACACCCTTCACACTAGCATCCAAAAAAATGAAATATTTACGAATTACTCTCACGAAAGAAGTGAAAGACCTATACAGGGAAAATTATAATGCACTGTAAAATGAAATTGAAGATGATCTCAGAAAATGGAAAGACATCCCTTGCTCATGGATAGGAAGAATAGATATTGTGAAAAGGGCCATTCTTCCAAAACTGTTATACAGATTCAATGCAATCCCAATAAAAATACCATCAACATACCTCATAGATCTCGAGAAATCAATCCTAAAATTCATTTGGAGTGAGAAGAGACCTAGAACACCAAGGACAGCTCTAAGCAGCAAAGGCAAGACAGGAGGCATCATAATCCCTGACTTGAAGTTATACTACAAAGCAACTGTAGTAAAATCAACATGGTACTGGAATCAAAACAGAGCCAAAGATCAGTGGAATAGATTAGAAGATACAACCACAACTGCAAACACACTCATCCACCTTATCTTTGATGAAGGGGCCAAACATGTTCACTAGAAGAATGACAGTCTCTTTAATAAATGGTGTTGGAAAAACTGGCTCTCCCTATGCCGAAAACTAAAACTAGACCCATGCTTGTAACCATATACTAAAATAAAATCTAAATGGATCAAAGATCTAAATATTAAAACAGAAACACTAAATCTATTGGAAGACAAATTGGGAAAAAACCTTGAAGACATAGGGGTAGGTAGAAAATTCATGAACAAGACTCAAACCGCACAGGAAATACTTCCCAGAGTCAATAACTGGGATCACATCTTATTAAAAAGTTTCTGCACATCGAAAGAAATCTCTAACATAATGAAAAGGAAAGCCACAAGCTGGGAACAAATCCTAGTGAACTGCCCCTCAGACAAAGGACTTCTGTCTAAAACATACAAAGAATTTTTAAAAATCAGACCCCCAAAATTCAAGGACCGCATCCAAAAATGGGAATCTGAGGTGAATAAACAATTTTCAGATGAAGAAATACAAATGGCAAATAAATATATGAAAAAATGTTCAGCATCACTAGTCATTAGAGAAATGCAAATTAAAACCACACTGAGATTTCATCTCAATCCTGAATGAATGGCCAAGATCAAGAAAACTAACAACAACAAATGCTGGACAGGCTGTGGGGAAAATGGAACTCTCCTGCACTGTTGGTGGGAGTGTAGACTGGTGCAACCATTGTGGAGGTCAGTCTGGAGATTTCTCAGAAAGCTGGGACTGGAAGCTTTTGACTCAGCTATTCCACTTCTAGGCATATCCCCAGAAGAACTGAAAGCATCATACCATGGTGATAGATGTGCACCCATGTTTATAGCAGCACAATTTGTAATAGCCAGATCTTAGAAACAACCTAAGTGTCCATCAACTGAGGAATGGATAAAAAAGTTGTGGTATTTTTATACAATGGAGTACTACTCAGCTATAAAGAATGATCACATTGAGATATTTATAAATAAATGGACACAGCTTGAGACCATACTCATAAGTGAAATAAATCAAACTCACATGTATAAATACCGAATAGTTTCCCTAGTGTAAGAAACGATAAGAATACATGAAAGTACATGGTAATCATGATTCCCAGTCACACTGGTTTGAAGCCATATAATGTCATGGGAATGGTTTTAATCTGGGTTGTTTTATTTTATTGTCTGTGATACTACAAATAACTATTTTGAAGAGAATAAGAGCATAATAGCTAGTGCTGATTTAATATCATCCTGTTTTGAAGCCCCATCAAGTTGTTGTTCATTTGTTTCCATTGGTTCTAACATGTTGTATCTTATTATATCTTAATGTATGCAATAGTATAAGCAAATTTTTTATAGACAAAGAGATAATATAGAAATTGATGTTCAGTTTCTGCTAGCTGGTTCTAAATACCCTGCAATAATTTCATTCTCTTGAACGGTTTCACACTGTCTTGTTAAGTTTGATGCTATAGTATACGAAGTTAGACTCAAATATTTCAAGGAAAGAGTCACTATGGTAACTACTATTAATGTCAGGCTATCTGGTGGTGAAACACAATGATGCTTAAATTTTTCGGTTCTGACCAGTATTGTTCTATTGATATGTTCTTTTTTATCTCAATCCCACCTTTTTCTTTTCTTTTTTTAAAAATTAATTTATTTCTTAGTATCTCTTAACTAAGGGAAAACTAAGTTAAAAATAGTGCAATAGATTATAGTAACTTTTTTTTCCTATTAACCTGATATGAATCCCTGTATTGTTCTCCACATCTTGCTCTGACTGATTTTATTATATTCTGTTTTGCTTAATAGTATCAAGTTTGAGGGTATAGGCAACCATTTGGAAGGCAACCAGATATTCTATGACGCCCGTTATTGTTTGACTATTATCTTCTTTGGAAGTCCTGTAAGCTCTCCAATGTGGGTTTTATTGGTCTTCTGTACTGTTTTGTTCAATTCTTTTATTCCAGCTGATATAGGCAACCCTTTTTAGGATAACAAGAGACATAATGGTAACCATTGTTGATCACCTAGTAATCTTTTTTTTTTTTCATTATTTACTATGTCCATCCTCCTGTTCTAACTGACTCTGTTTGCTTTGTCACATTGGGTTTTTCTTTGGTCCGTCTTGATTTGTTTTGTTTTGTTTTTTGGGTTTTTTTTTTTTTTTTGGCTTTTTAAAAATCTTTTTTCTTTTCCTCTTCAAAGAAAAAGTTATAAGAACTGTGGGAGTAATGGAAACCAAAATGTGTGATTGTTAGCGTAAAAAAGAGAGGAAGGAAAGTGATCTAAAGGATATAACTGCAAGTATATTTAAATGTGTAGGCTAGAGATCCAGATTGCTGAGTTTTTCTTGGATCATTGAACCGAACTGACTGCAATCTCACTGTATTAATGTCCACTTTGTATGCTTTAATTTTTTAATCTGGACAACTGTTTCTAAGATGACAATATGTGATCTATTAACTGGTGAATTCTTACTGTATATTTTTTCTCTTGAAATTCTGTATTACTTCTAGCCTTTTACTGTTTTGCTTCATTTAGTTTTGATTTTCTCTTTAAATAAAAAAAAGAAAAGAAAGGGTTGAAGAAAAAAGGAAATAGAAAGATTAATCAGCTCTAGTTGGAGTTGGGGGAAAGTGAGATTTGAGTGAAGTACACTCGTCTGCTTTAAATAGGTGGTTAGAAGAGAAGAGAAAATGGTTCAAAACAAGTGAACAACCTAAACAAAAGTTTGAAGAAGAATTACCCTAAGTCATGTTTGAATAAAAAGGTGCTGCACGAGGACTTTTATAGAAGTGATAGCATTTGTGTGATACCATGAGGGTGGATACATGTATTTACACACTTGCCCAAACTCAAAGAGAATCTACCTCACCAAGACATAACGCTAATCGAAACTATAGACTTTGTGTGCGGATCATGAGTGCACGTGGGTTCAGTGACTGTTGTAAATATAACAACAGTGAGGTTGTCCACAGCAGGGGATGTGGTGCCCGGTGAGGTCAAAGCTTCGATGAGAATTTTCTGTACTTTCCGCTCAATTTTGCTGTGAATGTAAAGCTCTTCTAAAAAATAAGATCTATTAAAAAACCAAAAATATGTGATTCAAAGAGGTCTCATAGTACATGAAATTCATTTTTGCCATTTTATTTTAAACACTTCTGAACTGTTCTATCACTCAGACCCTAGTGTTTCCAGCAAGGCGTCATCTCAGTCAGGTCTTGCTGCTTTAAGGTTTATGAATGGTGAATTCCTGTATGAGAGATGTGAAACTCACACCCCATTGTTACAGTAAGAACAAAGGGTGTTCTCACCTCTAGCACGAGAAATAAGTAGCTTATCATAAAGAAGATAGTTGGAAACATAATTCTGTTTACTTTTCTTCTAAGGCAATGAAACGAAAATGAATGCATGGCAGCAAATGTAATTACCTATAAACTGCTGGCCACAGTAAACACTCAACTTACTTGCACAAGTCAACAAAGCAACTGTCAGCTTGGCAAGTGGTTTCTAAACTGTGCTCTTGGTGTCCTATGAATGTGGCTGAAGGGACACAGAGGGAAGGGATGGGGAGGCAGAGGAAGCTTCTGCCCAGTCCTTGAATCTGTTTATAAATCTTGGATTTCTCAGTATTTTATTTGTAAATGTTTAGTTTTATTCCCAAAAAACGTCAACAACATTGTTTTGGAATTTTCAAACCAATGAGCCTTTTCTCATTGGCTATATATAGAACAGAGGAAATCCCTGCACTTGTGGGATTTGGACTACAGGTCTTCTGGCTCCAGTAGTCTAAAAATCTGGCCTCATAGTGTAACAGGATGGCAGAAGTTCATACATGAATGCCAATTAATATAAGTGCCAATAGACACTTAGTTCAAGGGGGGTATTAAAAGTGGCACAGTGCTGAGGGACAACTGCTCGGCTTCTGCAGAACAAATTGCAGAGTCTGGAAACAAAAACTGGGAAAGAAATCAAAGGGATTCTAAACTAAAGGAGGACCTGACAGAGCAGAAAAAAAAAAAAAAAAAAAAAACAGAATTCTCTGCTACCAGAGAAATAGCTCACTGACACAGACCAGAGACCAAGTCATGTGGCTAGAGTAGCTGTGTAGCTGACCTGATAGGTGAGGAGTCAGCAAGCAACTTTGCTCCTCGCTGGAAGACAGAGACCTGAACTAGACTGGGAGAGTCTTGTGCAGTCAGAAGCAACAGTAAGAACACGAGACACTTTCCCAAGTGACCCACCACACACTCACTGGCTGTGAATGAACCAGAGCTATAGAGCCTCGAACCCAGTCAAGGAGTAGCAGCTAGAAGGTAGGACCATCATTGTATCTCCAAGTGCTTTGGGGCTCAGATTCCAGCAGCAGACAGCCCCTGGGTCACTTCAATGCTAACATTCAAGTATGATGAACACCTTTAACTGATAATGTAAAGGCACAAATACAAATAGCAAAGGCACAGTTATAAAATAGCAAGCTTATAGACATGTGACAGTTAAAAATCAAATAGTGGCCTCTGCCTATCCTTTTGCTGCTTGCCATGTAAGCACCATGCTAAATTCAGTCAGCATTGACTGAATCCAACTGCTTTGCTTGTGATAATGTGCTAGGTCAATTTGACTATGTCCAGCTTGTACTGTCCTTAGTTAAAACAACGTATGTTGTTCCCATCAAGCTTTAAGAACTTAGTTTGGAAAAAAATGGCGTAGTTAAGGATAGTTTTAACTTTTCTTGCACTGCTTGAATCCCTTTTCCTCATCCCCAGGATGTTCTTCCATTATGGTAAACAATTCCTTTTAAGTAAATAGAACAATATGTGACTTAACACAATTCATGTAACCAATCATGCAATAACATGACGCCTGCTTTCAAACTGTATTTAAGCTAAACTCTAAACTAGCTTGTTGCTGGTGATTTGGATTCAGTGATAGTCCTTTAGTCTGCTGGCATAAAGTCAATAAAGTTGACATCTAGATTTCTCAGGGCAAAGGGTCTTCCATTTAGTTTGAAATCGGTTTTTCTGCAACAATAACACTGGGATAATCTGGGGTGACAATCATGCCCACAGCCTAATACCAAAGGACTGGATGCTGAGCCAAACAGCAAGACAACATCTCTAATAAAGTGGGAAGATAAGATCCTGAGACAAAGACCAATAGAAAGCTACATCTAGAAGACACCTCAGGGGAATAGTCATTGCCTAGGGAAGCTTCCATGCCAGTTATAAAGCTACCTAACATACGAAAAATGCAAACAACCTCAGAAACAAATTAAAATTGAAAAATATAAAATAACAAGAAGCAGAAACAGAATGCCATCCCAGACTTCCAGCCCACCAAGGACAAATCCAGGAGACAATGAGATAGAGGAAATCAGAAGCCATCCACTTGAATTTACTGGAAGGACAGTAAAAGAAATAGTAGAAGAAAAAAATAACATATACACAAGAATATACAGGACATCAAAACAATCTCACAGGTTAAAAAAAGAGGTAACAGTCATAATGAAGGACTTTCTCAATAAATCTACAGTGGACATAGATTTTAAAAATAGAGGAGTACAATAATAATGGAAATCATAAATACTCAACATAGAAACACAAATATAATACATTAAACAGATTCAAATAGAAATTAAAAGTGCCATTGAAAGTTTGCAAACTGTAATAATGAAAGTGAAGTTAGTCTATTGGATCTAAAAGAAACAAATGTAGCCAATAATCAAACAAAAAAATCTCTGAAAAATAGCAAGGACATGAAAAAATAACCTAACAACTGCATGATAATGCAAAGAAGAACAACTTAAGACTGACTGGAGTCAAAGAAAATGCAGGAGTCAACGGAAATGACAAAAACACTGTTCATAGCTTTGAAAGTCTTCATTAAAACACATCTAGATGAACAAATACTTCTCGGATGAAGAAATAAAAATGGTAAATAAATACATAAAAGCTTTTGCATCATTGGTTATTGAAGAGATGCAAATTAAAACAACACTGAGATTCCCTCTCACCACAGTCAGAATGGCTGTCATCAAGAAATCAACCAATAACAAATGCTGGAGAAGTTATGCAGAAAAGGAACTTTTCTCCACAGTTGATGGGAGTTCAGACTGTTGTAAACTCTGTGGAAATCAATATGGAAAATCTTCATAAAACTAGAATTGGAGGTCCCAGTGACCGAGCTATTCCCCTTCTGGGAATCTTCCTAGATAAACTGAAAACATCATATCACAGTGATATATGTGCACCAACTTTTATAGCAGCACGATTTATGATAGCTAAATCTTGAAAAGAACTCATCAAGCAAGGAGTGGATTAAAGAGATGTGGTATTTTTATATAATGGAGCACTACTGAGCCATAAGGAAGATAAATTGAGACTTTTATAGGTAAATGGCTGCAATTTGAGACTATATTCATAAGTGAAGTAAATCAGACTCACATATGTAAACATCACATTGTCTCCCTGTGTGAGAAACTGAAAGAGTAAATAAGGTAGAAAATGTATGACAGATACTGTGAGCTGGAAAAAACTATTCAAAAGGCAAAAAAATATGCTGGGAGAAAGAGGAAAGGAAGAAAAGGAAAAAAGAGAAAAATGTTCATACCAAAGAAAATATATCAAAGAGAGAGATTACAGCAAACAAATGGTAGAAGGTAGGAGAAACTCAGGTTAAATATGTACAGAATCAAGCAGAGAATTAAGGCAAAGAGACCATCCAGGCCAATAACTACACACCAGGTCAAGTGACCAGTCAGGATTGATTCACCCATGAGCATGAAAAACTCAAGAAGGGAAATCATTCAGAAAAAAATAGAAGTGATCAGTTACCTAAATGTGATCTGTGGAAAGCATTAATAGTTCTTCAGTTTTGTGTATAAGCTTCACATTACCTAGCAGTAAGTACATACTTTGGAAGTTTTAAAAAGTAATGCCAGCATAAAGGATATGGAAAAGAGTAAAAAAGAGAAAGCATGTACTGATTGATTTAAGAATCCTATTTGCAAATTCAACTTAATGTAATTACTAAAAGCTGCTACAACTGATAGAAGGGTGGGGTAGGAATAAGGGAATGCTGACAGTTTGTCCACTCTAGGGGGAAGTGACTATAATGTCAGTGTGATAAACAAGAAACAGCCATATAAGCATGTGGATTAAAAAAATGGAGTTAATTATCACAAAAAACACTTAAAGATTTGAAAGTACTTGGCTCTGGTGCATTAAATGAAGACAGAAAAGAGGGCTTGGTAAAGCAGTGTTAGACCTGTGTTTTTCACTTAGGGTCATATGTAACAAATTGACTTTATGTATACTGTATTGATTAAAGTAATACTGTAATATTTTTAGATGACAAGAAATGGGAGTACGATAGAAGACCACAATGAAGAAAATAAATATCAGATGTTATTGTAAGAAATTTGATGAGAAGAGCATAAAGGAGAAAATCATCCCAGACTAAACTCTATGAAGGCATTTTTGAGTAACTTACTCCTTCTCATGAAACCATAAGTACTTGTTTGAAGTGATACTTTACACTTCAATTTAAACTATGAGTATCCTGTTAGAACACACTACTTAAGTCAATCTAATACTAGTATAGAAGAAATCAATATAAATGGAATAATCTGCATTCTACAATGTGGCTTTTTACAAAAATGTTCTGTAATATTCTTTTAGACATTATCTATTTTGGAAAGGGAGGGAAGATAAAATGGAGATAAAGTCTTTGAAAGAAATTTCTCTGCACAGTTCTAAATCCAATGAAAGAATGGAGGAAAATCAAACAAAAAACTAACAGAATTACTAACCAGGACTCAGAGATTCAGACAGACTCCAGTTCCCAGTCAAATGCGAGACCAAGCAGGTCACGGTGGACACGTTCCCTGAGTAGCTGCAGCTGCTCCTGACCGTCACTGTGCGGTTGCTGTAGCTGGTCGTTTCTTCCTTCTGGCAGTGCCCTGGTGGAATCCAGGAGATCTGTGCAGCCGGCTTGCCTGCCACTGCCTGGCACACCACGGTTTTATTCTTGTTGAGAAAGATGTTTGCTTCAGGGCGCACTGCGGGGATGTGAGGAAAACTATGCTTCAGCCTCCAGATCAGAGTTGAAATTTAGAGAATTTGTCTCAGTCACCAATATGACGATGTGATGCTTCACAATTTATGATGCCCCTTACCTAGCACTTGGAGTTGAAATTCATGTTGGAAATTCCCAGTAGAGTTTACCATTTCACAGATGTAAATTCCATCATGTGTGACAGCCGCTCCATTAATCTGAAGGTGAGGACTCAGGTCAGGTCTGAAGGCCCACGTTATCCTCTCATCAGTGCAGTTGTCAGAGGTCTGATTTTCTTCCTTATCATAGGATTTTGTGCATAAGGGCTGACCTCTGAGGGTGATTTTCCACGTTGTTAGCAGCACGTTTGTCAGTAGGACATCAGGGCAACAGAGCACCGTCGTCGAGCCCATCTCTACAGACAGCCTAAAGTTAGCTGGACACACATACACATACCACACGCCACACAAAAAGAAGAAATGGGAAAAAACAAGCTTCAGAAAGATCTTTTACGTTGACATTTATCTATAACACGTAGTGTGAATCTGTGTTTAGACATTGCTTAGCTGTTGATCGTATCAGAATAGTAGATTTATATAAAGATAAATATTCATAAGATATACATAATGTATACTATAAATGCAAATGAAACTCAAATAGGAAGCATTTTGTTCTATATTATCATTACAATGGAATCAACATGTGTTAAAAATATATTGAAATTGGGAGGTATTTTGATATTTTGAAATTGATAAGAAAGTGAATTCTAAATTAAATATTCTAAAATCTAATATTTTGATGGTGGGAATATTGGATTTATCACAAGAATTAAGCCTTTCAGAAAAGCAAATGCAATAGTTGTGTGATTAAATCCACCTGAGTTTGTAATATATGCAAAAAAATCAGTAACATCAAAACTAAATGCCTCTCCACCAAAGTGTCTTTGCTGCCAAAAATTAGTTTGGAAAGTATGTGGTACTTTCATTGAAATTAACTAATATGGTATTCAAGTTGAAATTCAAAATGTTAAGAGAATAAATGATGTCAACAGATCTTGAAATAACAAGCAATTTTGTCAGTTTAGGTATCCCGTGAAAATGAAAGTTGATGATGCTTAGAAATGTTGTTTTTTTTTTTTTCTGGTGAGACAGCAGCATGTTGCATAAATATAAAAACAAGGGAAGAAAAACAACTGGGATGTGAGGAGAAAAGAAGAAGAGGAAAAAATTATATACACATGTATATACACAGTAGCCAAGATAATTGTTCTGCTAATTTCTTTTAGGTCATTGAAAAGAATGGCTCGCACTTAGGTTGTTTGATTATCTTGCATACCTATATGTTGTAACCTGAACAATTAATTTGAATGTAACAATATGCAATACATTAACCATTTTTAATTTTCTATTATCTTTTTTCAAATTCTGTACATTGTTATTACTGTTTCTCTCTTTAAAAAATTAAAAAGAAAAGAACAGATTTATTTGCCATTGCAATTTTTTCATAAAAAGAAATGTATTAGTATAGACAACACATAGAATGAAAGAGAGGATAGAACTTCAGATCTTGAAGACACAATTGCAGCTGGTGATAGGGGCTGTGGAGAAAAAGAAACCGTTCTCCATTGTTAGTGGGAGTGTAGACTCGTGCAGCCACTATGGAAATCAGTGAAGATTCCTTAGAAAACTAGGATTAGAGGTCCCATTCAATGTTGCTATTTCTCTTCCATGTATTTTCCCATGAGAATTATAAACATCACATCATAGTAATATATGTGCACCCTTGTTTATAATAGCACAATTTGTAATAGCCAAATCTTGACGAATGGATAAAAAAGATGGGGCATTTTATACAGTGGAGTACTATTCAGCTATAAAGGATAAACTTAAGACTTTTGCAGGTAAAAGGATGCAACTTGAGACCATACATAACTGAAATAAATCAGACTCATATGTGTAAAAATCATATTGTCTTCCTAGTATAAGATGGTGAAAAGTAAGTAAGATAGAAAATGCACCAAAAAATGTTGTGGTATTTTATACAATGGAGTACTACTCAGCTATAAAGAATGATCACATTGAGATATTTATAAATAAATGGACGCAGCTTGAGACCATACTCATAAGTGAGACAAATTAAACTCACATGTATTAATACCAAACAGTTGCCCTAGTGTAAGAAATGATAAGAATACATAAAAGAATGTGGTAATCATGATTCCCAGTCATATTGGTTTGAAGCCATATAATGTTTTACTCATTATTTGGAGTGGCTTTAATCTGGGTTGTTCGATTTTATTGTCTGTGACAGTACAAATAGCAATTTTAAAGAAAACAAGACATCATAATAGCTAGTGCTGATTTAATATCATCTTGTCTTGAAGTTCCATCAAGCAGTTGTTCGTCGGTTTCCATGGGTTTTAACGTGTTGTATCTTATTATATTTTACTATACATGATAGTATAAACAAAATTTTTATAGGCAAAGAGATAATATAGAAAACATTGTTCATTTTCTGTTAGCTTGTTCTAAATACCCTGTAATTGTTACATTCTCTTGAATGGCTTCACACTGTCTTGATATGTTTGATGCTATAGTATACGAAGTTATACTCAAATAATTCAAGGAAAGAAACACTATGGTGACTACTATTATGTCAGGTTTTCTGTTGGTGAAACACAATGATGCTTAAATTGTTCGGTTCTGACCTGTGTTGTTCGGTTACTATATCCTCTTTTATCTCAATCTCCCACTTTTTTAAAAATTAATTTATTTTTTCTTATTTTTTAATTAAGGGGAAACTAAATTTAAAAATAGCAGGATATATTACAGTAAGTTTTTGTTTTTCTGTTAACCTGGTTTGAACCCCAGTATTGCTCTCCCCATCTTGTTCTGTCTGATTTTACTGTATTCTGTTTTGTTTGATAGTATCAAGTTTGAGGGTATAGGCAACCACTTTGAAGGCAGTAAGATTTACTATGATGCCCATGACGGTTTGACTATTATCTTCTTTTGAGCTCCTATAAGGTCTCCAGTGTAAGTTTCATTGGTCTTGTTCTGTACTGTTTTGTTCAATTCTATTATAGCTGATGATACAGGCAACTCTTTTCAAGATAGCAAGAGGCACAATGATAATCATTTTTGATGACCTGGTATTCTATTTTTGCATCATATACTATGTCCATCCTTCTGCTCTAACTGACTCTGTTTTGTTTTGTCACATTTGGTTTTATTAAAACTGTGCGAGTAATAAAAACCAAAAAGTTTAATTGTTATTGTAAAAAAGAGAGGAAAAGAAAGTGATCTAAAGGATATAACTGCCTGTATATTTAAGTGTGTAGGATAGAAAACCATATTACTGAGTTTTTATTGGATCATTGAAGAGAACTGTCTGCAATCTCACTATATGAACGTCCACTTTGTTTGCTTTAATTTTTTTTATTTAAAGAAAGATTAAACAAAAAGAAAATAGGTAGAAATAGTACATACATTCAGAGAAAAAAAAGAGTAAGAAATCACTAGTTGATGTTGTCGTTTTACAAATAGTTGTTCAAGGTACAAAAATGGAACATGTAAAGTGGGAATTCAAACAGAGAGACTGCAAAAAGTTCTGTTCAACTGTCCAACAAAAACTTAGTAACATGGTTGTCAATCCAATACATTTAAACATACATGCAGTTATCCATATCTTCATTTAGGTTTATATTAAACAAACTAAAGAAGGTTAAAATCATTTTGGACAAAGAATAATAGTATTGCTGGATTTCACTTCATGACACTGCATGATCAGCACTGGGTACTGTAGTGTATTCTTTTTAAAACTGAATTTAAAGAAAGACTAAAAAAAACAGAAAGTGGGTAGAAATAATACATACTTTCAAAGAAAAATAAACAGTAAGAAATCACTAGTTGATGATTACAGTTTGTCTTCTTACAAATAGTTATTCAAGTGTATGCTTTAATTTTGTAATTTGGACAATTGTTTCTAAGATGACAATATGTAATCTATTAAACTAGTTATTTCTTACTGTATATTTTTTTCTCTTGAAATTCTGTATTACTTGTACCCTTTTAATGTTTTGGTTTTTTTCTCTTTAAATAAAAAAAGAAAGTGCACGATAGGATTATGAAATGGGAGGAAACTTCAAAAGAAAAGAGAAACTGGGATGGGGGAAAGGAGAAAAGACAAAAGGGAAAGAAAAAAATAGAGACACACCCACAAAATAGTGTAATAGTTAAACTATTAGTTCATTGAAAAGTAAGGTTTGTGCCTGTATGGTTTGATCAATTTTTCACATCTATATCTTTTAATATGAGCGACTACTTTATTACAATATTCAATGTACTAGCAATAGTTACTCTCCAAAATATTGTTTTGAAATTTTGTACTGTTGTTTTTATTTTCTTCATTAAAATGAAAAAAAGAACTTTATTAAAAACTTACTGTGATACTATCAAACCGCTTTTAGATAAGTTTCTCTTCCTGTGTGTTTAGCCACACATATATTCCAAAACTGTTCAACTGTGAATTTTGTCCCTTTTACCCCAGCACTCAGATCACCATATTCTGCAGTCATCAGCTGGACTTCAGCCAGGTCATCACTGACTGTTTCTAAGTTAAACCCTCCATCCCTTTGGTGCAGGCCACTAATTGTGAAAGTGTATTACCTTCTGCAAGAGGGGATGAATTATTCTGTATAATCTGTTTTTCATCCATACATGAAGTACCTGAATCTAGAAAATATTTAGAAAACAATAAGTGAAGTTAATTTTTAAATACTCAAATAGTGAAGTCACTGTTTTTCCTCAAAGTCTTTCAGAAATAAAATCATAAAAAGTTAAAGCACAGTGGAATTTTATAGCAGTGAGATATCTTTGTATGATAGCGGGAGAATGGAGACATGTCTTCATATACTTGTCCAAAGCCATAGAGTTTACCGCACCAAGAGTTAACCCTAATGGAAACTCTGGGCTTCAGGTGAGAATCATGAGTCCACATGGGTGCAGTGACTGTAGCAAACGTAACACTGAGTTACAGGATGTCCACAGCAGGGGAAGCAGTGCCTGGGTGAACTCAACAGTTCCATCAGAATTTTCTGTACTTTCCATTCAATTTTACTACGAACTAAAACACTTCTGAAAAATAAAATCTATCCAAAATATATGTAGTTCAAGGAGGTCTCACAGTGCATGGAATTTATTTCTGTCATTTTATTTTAAATATTTCTGACTTTTTCTATCAGTCAAACCCTAGCATTCCTAGCAAGGTATGTACCAGTCAGGTCTTACTGATTTAAAGATTCATGAATGGTGAATATCTGTTGGAGACATATTTTTTTAATATAATTTACCTGACAGGGAATTTTAAAAGACAAAGTTGCAAACCACGCTAAGGAGAGCAGTACAAGAACTGATCAATGTCACAAGGAGATAAAAAATATTCCATAAGCAGAAATCACCTAGTTGAGAATTGTAATAACTGAACTCAAAAACTAAATGGTAGTGTTCAAAAATATGTTAGATCAAAATGACAAGCAGACAGGAAGACAAACCATGGGAAATCATCCAATCTGAGGGGCAACTATAAAATAGGATGGAAAGATTAAAGAAACTCTAAGGAAATTACAGGACACTATCAAAGAGAATATGTATGAATTATTTGTGTAATGTATGGGAAGAAAGAGAGAAGACATACTAAAAGACATAATGACAAATATCTCAGGTCAGGGGAGGAAAAGGAGAAATCTACATCCAGAAAACTAAATTGACACGTCCTACTATGAATCCAAAGAGACCTACATCAAGACTACAGTGTAATCAAAGTGTTAAAAGCTAAAGAGAGAATATTAAAAGCTATGATGGAAATGAGTTGTTACACACTGGAAACCTTCCATGAGACTGTCAGTACATTCTTCTGTCATGCAGGCCAGAAAGGATTAGCACAGTGTATTTTAGAATGTGAAAGAAGACAACTGCCCATCAAGAACACCATAGCCAGAAGTGCTATGCTTCAAAATGGAGGAGAAATACTTTCTTGTACAAAAAAATCTGACAGAATATATTATCACTGGATTTGCCTTAGAAGAAATACTAAAGAAGTCTTTTGACCTGAAGGAAAGAAGCATTAAGTATATATATATATATTAAGTATATCCTCAGACCTAAAACACTAGTGCTGTAATAGTGTAATAGTGCTGAGAAAAATAATTTTATTTCCAGCATTAAGGTTAAAAGACAACCATTAGAAACACCTTTAGCTATAATAATTTCAGGGGACACAAAAGATAAAAGACAAAATATACAAGATATAAACTAGGTTTGTGCCTGTAGCACAAATCTAAAATGTCTTATGAGTAACTCAAGAGCATCCTCATTACTATTGAAAGATAGATGCATTTTCTTCTAAAGATATCAGAATGTCAGACTTACCAGGCATAAAGATAATGATGGAAATCAGTAACCTCACAGCCAAAGTTCTCACCAAGGTATACATTTGGAGTGATTTTCCACTTAAACAAGTCCACTGTAAATAGTCAATGAATGGAGTGAATCTCTTCTGCTAGGTCCTCTTGTTGACTCTTATTCCAACAAGGTTGAATGTCATTTTGCTTATCTTTATCTTTATCTCCATTCTGTACATTTTGGTTAATTAACCATAAGCAGGAAATGTCAGTGATAAAGCAAAAAAAAAAAAAAACCCCAAACCATATCTTATTTGTTCTTCCACAACCCTTAAAAGAGTAACAGACATAATATAGCCATTCACTTAAAAAGGAGCATTTCACGGGCATAAAACATACCTGACAAAGTGCAGAAACCGTAAGTGTACAGCTTATTGAATTTGTATATACATATGCACTCTTACATGCACTTCCTAAACCAAGGTAGTAACATTTTACTCAGAGTTTTCTTTAGTTCCTCTCCTCATAATTTCTTCCCAGAAATGAACACTAGGCCATTTTTAAATTGTCATTCATTTATCTTACCAGTTATTGAACCTCACATAAATAAAATTTTTTAGACAGTTCATCATTAACACCATGTTAAAGGTTTTTTTTAAAAAAATATATGATGGGGGTCTGAAAATGGCGGCGAGCTAGGGGATCGAGCGATATAATAATCGAGGCATATAATAATCGAGATCCCAGAAATCCACCAAAAAAACAGAATATTAAAAGCAGCCAGAGAAAAGATGCAGGTTACCTATAACGGGAAATCTATCAAAATAACAGCAGACTTATCAACACAAACTCTTAAGTCAAGAAGGGAGTGGGGAGAAATATTCCAAGTCCTGAAGGAAAAAAATATGCAACCTAAGTTCATATATCCGTCAAAACTCTCTCTAAAAATTAATGAAGAAATAAGATACTTTCAAGACAAGGAGGAACTGTGGGAGTTCGTGGCCACCAATCCAACCCTACAGAGAGCGCTGAAGGACATTACAGAGAAAGAGAGGAAGAGATACCAGGATTCCAGCAACAGTGGCAGAGAGGACTCAGTGAACGGGGCAGACAGTGGAATGAGGGAATAAGGTGGACAAATTATAGCAGAAAAGTGGAGTAGCAGACATGAGGCAGAGACAGTAAGCTAGTCTTTAGTAGAGACAGCTCTGAAACTATATTTAAAAAAAAAAAAAAGCAGAGGTCATTGCTAATGGTGTATAACGATTTAAAAGACACAGTAGACCTAGTGCCATATTTAGATTGAATTAAATTTGTTCTGGTCTGTCCGCTCATATCAGATTTGAGGACACAGACCTCTAGAACCAAAAATAGCAGGTTATACCATGGTAACTATCCTTACTTTCCTATTGACTTAGGCTGAAATCCTGTATTACTTACATTGTCTTACTATGACTGATCTTAATTGTATCTGAATCATAAGACTATTGGTTGGCCCTGACTGATCCTATTTGAAATCGGTATGCGTGTTAGAATCAACCCTAAAAGTAGAGGAAACTACTCTGAGCATGACAAGATGTAAAGGATATCCATACTGGTATGAATCAGTAACAGCTCTCAAATACTACAATGCAGTCAAAGATAAGTTTTTATAAAAATAGGTGATAGTATGTTTAACTATAATAAGCCAGTGTTGTCGACAAATCTATTGAAAATAACAAGAGAAAACATAGTAGCTACGGAAGATCATTTATATTATAGTTTTATAAGTCTTATCCATTGCATGTTTATCTAGGAAATTGTTTCGCTGTCTTGTTATGACTTGGTTTTCCCTATAATACAGAGAGGATAGGAACAAATACTCTGAGGAAGAGACCTGAAAAACCCGAGGCTTATTTTGTAGCATTATAATATAAATTCTAGCAATCTATTGCTTGCTGATTAAAATGACTCTGGACTGGTTTCTTCAGCTCAACTTCAGCATATGCAGAGATGGGGACGGCTATCACAAAGAGAATGAGAGATGCGATGGTAGTTGGTATTGTCTTCCCTAATTTGGAACTTGAGGACCTAAAAAGACTCCATCATCCTGTAATGATTTGATTAGTTCTATAATATGCAATAAGTATAGAAAGTGGGTGAAGTTAGGAACAACTATTTGTAAGAAGCTAGAGACAGTTAGATAAGGTAGATCTCCAGTGGACTTGCTTTGAAATCTGTATTTCTTTAAATTGTTTTTTATTTTTATTTTTATTTTTTAATGTTCTGTTCTGTTTTGATATGGTTAACCTTATCCTCTTAGAGATGTAAAACAAATAGGTGGGACTGATAATCATATTACGGAGCTTTTGTTCGGCCATAGAGCAGAATGGTTTGTAGGGTCACTTTTTTGAATGTCATTCTAAATACTTTAATTCTATAACCTGAACAGCCATTTCGAAGATGACAATTTGTAACTTATCAACTGGCAATTTCTTACCTTTTGTTTGTCTGTAATTTAGTATTATTTCTACCCTTTTTTTTAATCTCCATGTATTTTTTTTCGTTTCCTTTTCTTTAAATAAAAAAATATATATATATATATATATGATGTAAATATATTATTTCTCTGTGAAAATGGATTATTCAAGTTTGAGGCTAATATAAAGTTTCTATTACAGTACAAGCCACCACACCCAGTTTCTTTTTGTTTTGTTTTTGATAACAAATTTTTTGTAGTTCCGGAATTTAATCAGGCACTTCAAACTGAAGTTCATCCTTGGATTTTTTTATTTTATATTTTGAAACAAAGTCTAAACCTCAAGTTGCCCAGGCTGGGCTCAAACTTGTGATCCTCCCACCTCTGCATCCTGAGTTAATAAATTAGTTACACTTTTTTCCTGATATTGAATATAGCAACGTTAGCTTTCTTTTGTTTACTATCCCCAAAAACACGTTTTCTACCTTTTTGTTTTCTGTTTGTGTCTTTTGATGTAAAGTGAATCTCCTATAAACAATATGTAATTGTGTTGTATTTGTTTTTCTCTAAACACATGATACATAACATAGTTACAGATAAGAATGGACTAACTTCTGTTCTTTCTTGTTTGGTTTTCTCTGTCTCATACATTCTTTCTCAATTCTCCTTAGTGCTTTCGGATGCTTATTGGATGTTCGCTTAGTGTAGTGTTTTGATTTTATTCTCCTTCCCTTTTTTAATGTTGCTGAGTTATTTTTGTGGTTATGCACTAGATTACAATTTACATTTCTAGTCATCTAGATTGAATTAGTATCAACTTAACTTCAATAATTTAAAAAAAAACCTTAGCTCTCAGACAACTTCATCTTTTTACTGTTATGTTAAAATTATCACAAGTAAAAATTTACATTTGTGCATCTACTTAATAGAGATTTATAGTTATATTTGATGCACTTGTCTTTTAAATCATTTAGGAAAATCACAAACCAAAAATGTTGTCTTTTATGTTTTGTGGTTATTTATACCCGAGTTCCTTATTTCTTCACATCGCTATGAGTTGTTCTCTAGGGGGATGAATTTCTCCCACGTTTGTTTATCTGAAAATATCTTAATTTCACCTTCATTTTGAAGGATAGCTTTGACTGGAGTTACCAATTTTCAGTTTTTTAAAATATAACTAACCTTTTACCTTTCATGATTTTTGATGAATAATTGGCTGCTACTCTTCCTCCAGGCCCCCTGTATGCAGTGTGTCACTTCCCTTCCTACTTTTGAGACTTTTCATTTCTCTTTTGATAATTTGATTATAATGTGTATCAGTGTGGCTCCCGGTGAGTTTATCCTACTTGCAGTTCATGGAATATGTGGTATCATATCTTTCATCAAATTGGGGGACTTTTCAAACATTATTCTTTTGAATATTCTTTCTGCCTCTTTCTCCCTCCCAACCCCACTGTACATAATCACTCTCTTGATATTGCAAAGACCTCTGAGGTTCCGTTCCGTTTTCTTCTTCTCCTTCTTCCCTTCCTCCTTCTCCTCCTTCTCCTCATATTTCTTCTTCTCCTCCTTGTGTTCCTGGTCCTCCTCCTTTTTCTACTCCCAGGTCCTTGGACTAGAGTGGCTCCACTGAGATGATCATTTTCTCTGTTTCAAGTTCTCACATTAAGTTCTTCAGTTCTTAGTTTCTGTCTTCCGCCTGCTTGAATCTGCTACTGAACTTCAGGCAGTGTACTTCATGGTTTCAGAATTTCTTTTAACCTTGCTTTACATATTTATCTTTATCAATAGTTTTCATTTGGTGAGATTATGTTTCTCTAGTTTTCTTTATTTTTTACAAAGTTTTCTTTAGCTCTTTGAGCATATTTAAAATACTTGATTTAAAGCCTTTGACTAGAAAATTATATTTTCCCCACAGATGCTTTCTGTTTCCTTTTTCCTTGTGTATGGGCCATAACTTCCTGTTTCCTTGCATCTCTCATAATTTTTAATTGCTGAGCACTAAGTGTTTTAAATATTATGATGCAGCAACTCTGCAAATCAGATTTGCCTCTCCCTGGAGATTCCTGATTGCTACTATTATTGATCTTTTGTTTGTGAATTTTTAAACTAAATTTTAAAGTTAACATCACATTGTGTGTGCCTACTGACTTCTCTGTTGCTTATGAATCTTCTATTGGTTTGACGTGATTTCTTTAAATATCTGCATTTAAGTGAAGATATCTCCTTGTTCTTGCAGATGAATTAGGGAACACATTCAGCACCCACTAGACAGTTTACAAATCTGCCTTGGACTTTATTTTCTGCTTGCCTGTCAGCCAGAGGTGAGAATTTAGAGGCTTCTTAGATCTTCCTGAGTTTGTGTTCAGCCTTGGGCATGTAGGTGGCCTTTCAGTTCCCCAGGGGATAGGGTAGCTTTACAAAGTTCACAGCCTAACAGTATCTGCTTTGCAAGTCTCTTCCTTCCTAGGCTTTGGTCTGTCTGCTGTTTGTCCCATTTTTATCCTTGATCAAACGCAGCTGCCACAAGACTATGTGCTATTAAGTAGTTTTTAACAAATGCCTGGGTAGGATGCTCCAGCTCTAGGACAGTTCCAACATGAAAGAAACAGAGGCAGGCTTCTGACTGATCCA